GGCTTTGCTTTCATCTCGTTCTGCATCAGCCTCTTCCCACATTCCCCGCTGATAGCGTTGAGTTTTCTGAAATTGACCTGACCTTTTCACACTGCATATATGCATACTGCGTGCGTGTTGTGTTCCTCATGCATCACTATTTATAGCCCTGCCATGTTATCCTCATAAGCAGGGTAGAACTTAAAGATTCAATCAGCCTACCTAAAAATTTCTGACCATCACTGAACTCACAGGCAGCGTCGAGGCCCTACAACATTGGGTTTGCTTCTTCTGTGAAAGAGAAATGACATGATCTTCGTAGCGTTGCAACTAGATGCAGATCCTGCCAAAGACCAGGCCCCAGTCGTTTCGAAAACACACAGGGAAAGCAATTCGCCAGGTGAGAGACAGGTTGAATAGGTAGGTATGTACAATGTACTACCGTTGAGCAGCCGTTTGGCCACGATTCCCATAAGTCCGGTTCGCTTCGTGTTCTTCGGGAGGAGCCCGCTCCATTTCCCGACCGAACCGACGGCCGGATTCCCGAGGCATGTGGATCTGGTATCTGTCAAAGAACGGAACCTACGAGGCGATTTGAAATCATGGAGAATTAAGCAAGACCCTCTCCCGTGCCTCTTAAAAATCGTATCGATGATCAAAGTAATCGAGACATTTGCATTGGTTGAGAAAGTCCACCAGATCGATCTTATATTGCGCCCAAGCCGAGATCGGAGACAGCAGGCCATGTGTCTCACATTCTTTTCTTTTGGCTTCAACGGTTGCGAAGCCGTCGCCCATCCACACATGAGGTTCATGAAACGATTTAAGAATAAGAGGGAACACGGGTCGGTTCGGACTTTTCCTTTTTCGTAAGCAAGCTGTCACGGGACATTTGACGGAGGTGTAGCTAAGCGAACTCGCCTTACTTGGGCCATTATACACGGTCAAGGAGACTGACAGTCCAGCGTCTCAACCTTTCAGAGCTCAAGACTGAGAAACCTAGCGAAACACTGCACTATGCGGATATCTTTTCGCGGAAAAAAGCGAACATGCATGGTTCAGCCGTGGGATGGCACTTGGACGGCAAACATTGCACACATCGAATTGACACATGAGAACTGGCTCGTATTGGTGGGGTCTTGGTTGAAGTTCATTGCTTTTGGTGTAAATGAGATCCTAGCTCAATGGCATCCTCTGGTATCGGCCATGGCTAACCCAAGTTGTTCCCCCAAACGCCAAATGTCCCACACCCCCTGATTTTTTTTCATTCTTCCATCAAAACTTTTGGATTTCCCAACGCTTAGTAGAAGAAGCCGATGACCTTGCCGGCAACGTGCTTGCGACGGGCCTCCTCGTGGTCCATGATACCAGCAGAGGTGGTGAGGATGACGTAGCCGAACTGACGGGCAGGGAGCAGCTTGACAACCCACTTCTCGAGGTCGGAGAGACGGACGTTGTAGCGGGGGGAGATGACACCGCACTTGTTGAGGCGGCCGTTAAGCTGGACAACGATCTTGCCGGAGCGGTGGTCATCGACCTCCTCGAAGCTAGAGATGTAACCTGTATTATTGCTGTTTAGCGATGTTGTCGCGGTGGTTTAAAGCTTAGACATCAGGAGAAAAAAATCCGAAAAAGTTGTAAGACCTCCGCTATTTATCTATCGGCATCTTATAGGGGCTGAGTCGTGGGAAGAAAAGACGGTCGCCCTAGTTATCATGCCGAATGTACATCCATCCATCCAAAATGTCCTCCGAGTTGAAGAAGAGAAAGAAGAAGTAGAAAGAAGAGTGTTGTTCTGACATACCGTGGCGCTGCATGACCTGGAGGAACTTGACGATGACCTTGGAGCTGGGGCGGATGAGCACCTGGCGCTTGCCGGCCTTCTCGGCGTTGTTCATGCTCTTGAGAGCATCGTGGAGAACGGAAGTGCGGACCATCTTGGCGGTTGATGTATGCGGAGATTCTCAAGTCTCGGGAAATGAGGTATCTGCCAGCGAAGAAAATAGCATGTTAGCCTTCCAATGGCCTGTTGAGCGTGGAGAGTGCCCTCCCAGGCGACAATCGTCCGACAGGAGGGTTCTGCCAGCTCGTTGCTGAAGAGGAGAGCGTATCAGATGTCATGGTCGTTCGGCGTCGGGTAGCCGCCGACCAAAGGGGCTACCGCATCGTCCGTCAAGGCGAAGATGGAGGTCGAAATAAAATTGGTATCTCGTAAATCGCACGACTCGTCTGATTGCTCTCCTCCGGCATCAAGGAAAAGGCAAGAAGTTCCTGTTGGATCAAGTCGCCATCGTGGGCGCGAACAAGGTGGTTTATGCCTTGTTTCAACTTACCTCGTGAATTGAACGGTGCCGCTGAAGGGGTTGATTGGCAAGTTTGTCGGTGAGAAGATCGTGAGAGAAGACGGGGCGCAGAAAAGTCCAAAAGGCTGTGGGAGAAATCCCCACACTGCCACGAAAAAAATTGGTCGCTTGTGGGTGCACGGACCACCCACAATTTCTAACCCTCGAAAGGGCACGGGCGAAGTGACCCTTCCACGAATGATCTTTCAGCGCATTTTCTGCTTGTGCCCTCGCATCACGCCAAAAGTTCACTTTATTCATACACTACCCAAATTACAACACAACATAACTCTTCGAGGATCGAACCGACAGGAACTTGACCAACAACTTTCAAGATGGTGAGTTCGCACCGAGAACCCCTCCCCAATGTGGCCCCCCTCGAATGACGGACGCCTCCCGGCTGCTCGCGAATACCTTCAATTGGGATTATCCGGGTGCTTGGAAGTTGTCGCGTGCGCGCAGGCCAATTCGGCTCATCCCACTTCGTGGGAAGGAGGACGACGATGATGTCGACTTGAACCCCGGAGGAAAACAATTTGGCTAACCAATGCCCTTGCGCATCTCGTACAGTCGGACGTAGAAGAGAACAACGCCCCCGAGGTGGCCGAGGAGGTCGAGGTTTCCGCCGATGCCGGCTCCAAGGGCCAGATGTCCGTTCTTGACGCCCTCAAGGGTGTCCTGAAGCTCGCCCTCATGCACGACGGTCTTGCCCGCGGTCTCCGTGAGGCTTCCAAGGCCCTCGACCGCCGCCAGGCCCACATGTGCGTCCTCAACGAGGCTTGCGAGGAGGAGGCCTACAAGAAGCTTGTCATCGCTCTCTGCTCCGAGCACAAGATCCCCCTGATCAAGGTGCCCGACGGAAAGCAGCTCGGCGAGTGGGCTGGTCTCTGTGAGTACACCTACGGCATATGTTGCCATACATCTGTATCGAGAGATGGACAATAGCTAATACAGATCGACAGGCGTGTTGGACCGTGAGGGTAACGCCCGCAAGGTCGTCAACTGCTCTTGCGTCGTCGTCAAGGACTGGGGTGAAGAGTCCCAGGAGCGCTCCATCCTCCTCAACTACTTCCAGACTGAGCAGTAAATTTGGGTATGACTTCATGATTTGAATTTGGGCGTCACTATGGGGAGAAGGACTTTTAGAGGGGTGGCGGGGAAATCTGGAACCGTCGCTATGAACGATCTTTCGGTTGTACTCTAGCTTCTTCAGCTGGCATCTCGAAACAAAAAATGGAGGACTCCCTTTGGAGGTCAGGTCAACATGCATCAAGGACAAATAAAGAGAAACGGCATTGGGCACTCTTGAACCAAACAAAATGTGTGCAATATTGATATTGTGAGGCGACTGATGAGAACGTAGCGGGGTCTGCCTATTTCCTGCCTTCAACCTGCGTGCGCGAGTCAGTACATACCTGGCTTGAGCTTTGGTGTAATTGAGTCCTACCATGATGATGTGGTATCCAAATTCCGTCTTGGCCTCCCCGTAGACGGGGCTCGCCGTTGTACTGGCGCTCAGAGCAAACGCAACGTCCTCGAACTTTGGGTCCAGGCTACCCTTTGTCTTCCAGCCCAGAGCACCACCTGTGAACCAATCAGCATGGGTCCTCACCCTCGATGAAGCTGCTCATGATGGGCATCACTCACCTTGTCTTGCCTTGTCCTCAGAGAACTCTCTCGCCACCTCATCAAACTTGGTTCCGTCTCTCAGCTTAGCCAAAGCCTCCTCCTTCTTGGCATGCTTCTCGCACTGGCATCAGTGGTCAGATTAAAAATTCTCAAGAAAATCCCACAGCTAGAGAAGACGATGCTCACCAAGATGTGCCGGGCATTGATGGACTGCGCGCCCTTGGCCGCCTTGCCGCCCTTGTCGTCGCTCTCACCCTTGGCACCCTTCTTCCCTCCAGCAGACTTGCCCCCGTCCTTCTTGTCGGCCGGCTTCTTGTCGTTCTTGCCCATCTTGAGGTGGCTGCGGAGTGGTGTCGGGCGTGATGCGGACGATGAAATTTGGCCTGGAGGGGTTGGATAGTGGGGGAATTGACTATGGCTGCAACCCCCACCATGAAAAGACTCTGTCAACGGCGGCTGCGACCAATGGAGAGCGGGGAAGCCAACTTCAACACCACGTCTGATCATCCGACAGCATCTTAATGTCGCTCAGAGTGCGATTTCCACGGCTCTTTCGTAAAACGTTTTGTTTTGTCTGATTTTTACTATTGTGATCAAAACTCTTTCCCATGCCGAATATTGTCTGACCGAAATCATGGATCGGTCGGCGGCCGACCTCGTCGGGCACCGTTTTTGCAAAACTTGTATGCGAAAAGGGTTGCAGCTCTTCGGATTCCCAAATCCACAACCAGAGATAGTCTCTCAGAAACGCCAATGAGTTCCTCCCATGACATTAGATTGGGAAGATCTTGTCGAAGCTCAAGCTACAAATCAGTCCTTGCCATTCCGCAGTGGGAGGTGACCGCGAAGCAACGATCCTCTATTTCAATGAAGATGAGTTGAGAAACAACCTTTCTTTGAAATTGCTTTACCTGATATGTTTGAGTGTGAACTGAGGCGAACCCAGGCCACGTATCACAGTTTGCAAATCCAGCAACGCCTCGATCAACGATTTGGATGGCATTCTGAAAAGTCTAGTAAATGCAATTCTTTTCTACGGGTATCAATACACTATTCTCTCATGGCCTCCACAGCTTGTCCAATCAACTCAAGAAAGGCACCCTCCTCGATCCGAATATCGGCCCAGTGCCATCGGTCTCGTCGGATAATACCTCTCTTCCTGCCCTTATCATCCTCCTCATGTCCCACCATCTCGGCGTGGGTGCTAAAGTACTTATGGCCCAACATCTGCGCCACATTCCTGAATCCCTTGTGGGACATGCTCGACGGTTGAATCTCAACGACCGCGGCGCCGTTCTCCCGGAGAAACATTGTGTGCGTCAGTCCCGCGCCGTGGACGCCTACCAGGATATCGGTGGACTGTACGATTCGAAGCTGTTCGGGGAAGGTCACCGCTCCTAGGTCGATTGCCTGAAAGTTGGCGTCGGGGAACGCTTTTCGAGCTGCGTCTAGTAAGACTTCCTGGTCCAGGAGCTTGCGGGAGCCCCGTCGATCGATGAGCGTGACGTTGAGTGGTTTGCCTTGTCGCCGCCCCGTCTCGAATTCGACGCCAAATTGCTGCATCACTCGTCGTGTAAAGACCTTCAGTAGCGGCGCGTCCTTGCAGTCTCTATCTTCCCAATCGTTCTGCCACAGAGGGTTGCTCCCTCCGGCGAGTGGAATGATGAGGTTCTGAGGCGTCTCGGCGAGGGCCTGTGCTTGCACTGGGTCTTCCAAGACCTTGCTGAGGCGAAGTGGCTCACGACCTGCAAACATTCCCCATAATGGATATAGAGGTCCTTCTTCTTGGTTGTCCAGGAAGACTACTTGGGTTCGTGGGACATCCCCAGGGATGGTAAAGAAAGGTTTGCTAAGATCGTTCCCGTCGTGACTGAGACGCAAGACGTCGAGGGACATAACCATCGACCATATCTCCATGAGAGAGTGCCAGATATTGGAGTGGCCTTCCCTCTTCACGAGGATTGTAAACGGGCGGCTACCATGATGGGTTGGCGCTTGCGTGACTGAGGATGGCGATGTCCCAGCTTGGACGTTGACGAAGTTCTGGAATAGGAAGCCTGGACCGGTGTCGTACCAGTAGTTTCTGATATTCGAGAAGGAAATGATGCCATTTGCTGTTTCGTTGCCGGTAGGTTGTCGCACATCGCAGTCCACATGGAATTTACCGCTTTCGCGGTCTAGTACGGCGCCCTGGCCGATACAAAACGAGTCGCGGTTGTCGTTGGATTGTGTATGACTGTGGAAACATGTCAGATTTGCGCTTGACTCTGCCGAACAGTACTGAATCCTTTGGTCCCGGAGTTCGTTCAAATATCGAGGGCCGAAGCGTTTGGCGCAGAACTCTGACTCTGGCAGGTCCGGCTTACCCAGCGTCGCTAGCTCTGGTAGAGAAGTCGGAATCTCGTTCTTCGCCGGACTCGTCATATGGCGAAATGGGTATCGCAGAAATGAAAGCCCGTCGTCGGTTTGTGTAGATTGCGACGATGATACTTGAAGGTGAAGAAGGATCATGACAAGCGTCGCCGCCGCCGCCGCTCCGGCTCGCTTGCTCTTTGGCATAAGACGCGAGCGCATGATCAATAGGCAAGACAATAGTCCATAGGAAGCCGGGTGCCGAAGGGTGTTCGATTGATACTTGATACCGGTCATTGAGAGTCTGAAAGAGGTCAAGAAAAGTCGAAAAGTGATGTTAGTCCAGCGAGTGGTGAAAAGGGGATGGCTCGTAGACCTGTCTACTTCTCCGTTGACAAACCAACAGAACGAACATAACAGGAGAATGAACTGAGCTCCTGACTGCGAGAAAGAATACTTAGAGCCCCCATGGCCCCCATTCGCATGAACAACCAGCATGCTTGGCCCCGCAGGCAAGCAAGCAAACAATGAATACTCAGGGGCGGACGGACAACAAGAAAGGTACGCTCTTCCCGCGCGGCCATGGCAGCCGACCAGCTTTCGGTAGACATTATGTGTGACTTGTTTGCTCTCCACTCAAATGCGTCTATCAAGCGTTTCTCTCCGTGCGCCTGGCCGCTGATAGCTTCTTGTTCGACGCTGTTTGCTTGTGATGCAGCCCCCGGTCACCAACAGGGGGCGGCTACGAGGTCTCTCACAAGGCTTAGGGTCGTCTTTTATCCGTATGGGTTGTCTTGGGCCGGCGGAACATTAAGGTGTGGTGCGTTGGTGGGTGATCGTCGGCCGTTCCAACAGCGAGAGTGGAGCTCTTTCGTGTTGGTGTTGCCGCCGAACAAACCAACATACTTCCAACATGATCTTTCCCCCAGATACTTTTTCCTTTCCAAAATTCACCTACTCTGGTATTCTCTCGGAACCTTGGGCTCTCAAACTTCTACCCAATTTGTTACTTCGCAGCGACCGACTAGGCTTTTCCCGACTTGGCCTATAATTCCCTGATCAGGCTGGGAATTGCCTCGGTCTTGTACCATTACCTGCACATCCGATCGACCCAATTCCCGTGCGGCGCATTCCAATGACCAATAAGGTTTGGGGTTTTGTCTCACTACACAGTCTCTCCTGTCCTGACAAGCGAACGTGTTATGAGCGGCCCAGATCTCGTTTGCGCCCGACGGCCACGTCTAGCGCTCTTCATGCAGTTGCAAGGCTTAGACTTGCCCAATCAACATTGATGCTTTCACGAGGCGAGTTCAGATGGTTCGCAAGTAAGCATCGTACGGTGATGGGCCATACATTAGCGGGCATTGCTGCTCTTAGCTCCTCTCTGCAATGGACATGCGTCGGGAGCAATATCTGCTCACATATTGAGCCACGTCTACTCTTTTCCCAAAAGTGTTGCAATATCATTACCGCCTTCACGCCCAGAGTCTGCGTCATGCTCCCACTTATGACACGTTCCCGTACTCTTTGAACTTTCCCAACCATGGCCGATCCTCTCAGTGTGATCGGCACTGTGATCGGTCTCATAACAGCTGCGGACGCTGCTTACGACAAAATCAAGGCGATCAAAGACCTACCCGAGGCGTTTGCGGAAGTTAGCCTACGACTTCCCATCGCTCGAGAGATTCTTAGGAAAATCGACGAAAAGTACGAGAACCTCTCCGTAGCGACCGCCAAAATCATCGCTCCCATCATCGAGTCGTGCTTCAAGAATGCCGAGGCCTTGAAAACCATACTGGAGGCGCTTCCACCACCCAAAGATGCGACTTCAAATTGGGACTCCATTGTTAAGAAATACATTTCTATCATAAAGATTCGGGGGAAAAAGGAACGTGTGGAAACCTTGACCAGGAACATACTAAAGGACATTCAACTATTGGCGGACCACGAGACGATCAGAGAGGCAGCAGATCAAAGTCAGCTGAAGAAGTTGGAGGATGCTATCAAGGCCATTGAGGACGTAGAGGCGTCCATCTCGGATGAATTATTGGAAGAAAGCCGAGGTGTAAACATTACGCATGGAGGACAAGGTGCTCAGAACTTTCAAGTTGGCGACAACAACAAGCAATTTAGCCATTTCGGCACTGGTCACGTCATTGAGACTGCTAATTTCGGGCCATCGTCAGGTCAGTTATCTGGTTTGCTTTCATAGCTTATCCACACTCCATGGGAATACATTGAATCCGCTTCCGCTTAGAGCAACCTGGACTGTTTCGTGGATTTGCCTCCGAGATTCACGATGAGTCCATAAGTCTCGAATATGACGCTTTATCTTATGCACTGAAGCCATTGATAGCGCTTATGCGCCCAGCCAGTTCTTGGTGCATGCGGAAGTAGTTCGAAAGTCAAGGCGAATACAATAATAAGTCGGGGTGGACTTCCTGACGAGCTTCTCGTGTTCTGATTCATTATTCAACATTCAAGAAAATGCTAACGTGTTTGTTTCATCCAGAAAACAGGAAAGCCAAGGCTTTAAAACGACTCAACAGTCCATCTTGCAGGGAGCACAAGGATCGAAACCCGAAGGCTACTGCAAATACTTGCAAATGGTTCACTGAACACACGAAATTCAATGACTGGCTCGGCGATAATCACTCACCTCTGCTTTGGGTCTCTGCAGACCCTGGTTGCGGAAAGTCTGTTCTAGCGAGACACTTGATAGACCAAGTTCTCCCTAGCTTGCGTCAATCTTCCATGATCATCTACTTCTTTTTCAAGTATGGTAACGAGGACCAAGAACACGCATTGAAAGCTGTAAAAGGCCTTTTGGATCAGCTTTTGAGGAATGGCTCGCCCCTCTTTGCGGAAAGTATCTTGAATTCACTCGAAGAACTTGGCGAAACAAAATTAGACAGCTTCAGTGAGCTTTGGAATGTCTTACATCGCGTCATGCGTCATCGGAAATCCGACAAAATTATCTGCGTGCTGGATGCGCTGGACGAATGCAAGGAAGGGTGGGACGACTTGGCGAGGGGCCTAGGCGATATCGCTAAAAGCCGATCCGCTTCTACAAGGATCTTGCTGCTCAGCAGGCCATATCGCGTAATCCAGAACGGAATAATGCAGGGTGGCATGTCTGTCATCCATCTCCACGGAGAAGACACAGTTGAAGTTGACAAGATATCGACTGAAATCAACCTTGTGATTAAGGAGAGAGTCAACAAGTTGGATGTCGGTCCAAGGAACAGAGAAAGGGTCTATGAGGAGATTTCACAGAGGGAAAATAGGACGTACTTATGGGCTCATCTCATTTGCGACATGCTTTCCGAAGTCGACTTTGTCACCAGCGACCTGCACGAACACCTTCGCCAACTTCCAGCCACAGTCGAGGATATGTACGAGAACATCTTGAATAGGAGCAGCGATATACGCAAGGCCAAAACCTTACTGCACATTGTTGTTGTAGCAGCCAGGCCCTTTTCTTTGGAGGAGATGGCAATGGCGATGGCTGTGGAGAGCTGTTCCTCTTCAGACGAGAAACCCCCTGTCATTGAGACCGCGATATTCCAGAAGAGCATTCGAAATATTTGCGGCCTTTTTCTGGTCATCAAGGATGATAAAGTCTTTCTGATACACCAGACCGCAAGGGAATTCCTTACTAAAGAGTCCAGCAGATCCGCGCGTAAGGCGGCTAGATCTGGAACTGCTTTGAACTGGAAGGGATGCTTGGATCAGGATGAGTCGAACAAACTCATGACAAGCATATGCCTCCGATATTTACTCTATGTGGGTGATCACGATCCACCGCCACGAGCGGAAGGCGGCCTGAAGTACGAGTTCGAAGTGACAACGATGTACGAATACGCCGCGACTTACTGGATCTCTCATTATCAGAGTTCGAACCTGTACGGATCTTCAGAGTTCATCCGTGACATTCTTCGACTATTTGACACGGAGTGGCCGAGTTGCCGCATATGGCACAACGTCTTCGAGTGGAACCATCGTATGAGTTTCTATCTCGAACATGCATATGAGCACAACGGGTCATGTCGCATGACCTCACTCGAATTGGTGTCATTTCATGGGTTGGAAGCCCCGTTTAAGACACTACTTAAAGAAGGAACGCACAATCTGCTCGAAAGTAAGGCATTGTTTTATGCTGTCGAATCTGGAAATAATGACTTGGTTCAACTAATAATCGACGAGATGATGAATCAGCCAAACTTCTTCTCACGTCGAAACAGCTTTAAGATAAACTTGCATCTGCTGTTGGCAGTAGATGGAAGGCATGAAGCCATCTTTGAAACAATCATGAATTTCAAGAGGGCAGAAATTGACCGATCGTACGAAAGAATCGCACCAGGGCATGTCGAGCAGATCGGAAGATCGACAGGCCCTTCAACCAGAAACGAATTAGGCGAAAAGGTTAAACATTCTAGGGGGAGAAAACGTTCTACATCAATCCGATATTGTCCCAAAGAAAGCTGGTTGGAGCAAGAGGCACTTATTCGTGCAGCGAGAAGCGGGCAGCTGGCAATTGTCAGGAAGCTTCTGAAAAAGTTTAGAGTCGATCCTGCATATGCACAAGATTCAAACGGCAACAAGCCCTTTGCAAATGCAGCGAAATATGGACACGTCGATGTGGTAAAGTTTCTCTTGAAATATCGCAGAGTTGACCCTGACACGCAGATTTCCGCGTTGGGCATCCAAGGGGGAATCAATCAGTATGGTTTCTATTACTATGACCTCCCTGAGCATGCTGCGAGTCAAACGCCTATTTCACTTGCGGCGGAACATGGACATCTGGATGTGGTCAATGTTCTTCTTGAGTCTGGCAAGGTCCGTTCAGACTCACGAGATGATCATGGCCGCACACCCCTTTCACATGCGGCGAGACATGGACATCTGGATGTGGTCAATGTTCTTCTTGAGTCTGGCAAGGTCCGTCCCGACTCACAAGATAATTACGGCCGTACATCCCTTTCACATGCTGCTGGAGCCAGATATTTGGACGCTGCAGAGAAATTGCTAAAAATCGACAGAGTCGATATCAACTCCAGAGATGCCGGTGGAATAACGCCGCTCGCATATGCAGCTCGTCATGGGAATTATGCAGTAGTAAAGACGTTTCTGGATACTGGCAATGTCGACGAGAGGTCTAAGATGCTATCTCTCGCTCTTGCGGTACAGGACTGGCATGAAACCATCGTCGATATTGTCGACTTGCTCTTGAGTTCCGACAGCCTTGAAGCCAACTTGAGCGATGAAACAAAAATGAAACTGACTTCACTGGCAGTAAAGAATTATCACCTGCCTGTTCTTCGTTTTCTGCATGAAAGGTGGAAACCATATCTTGGTCTGACCAATACACGCAGGATACTCGATGGAAGCCTGATCGCCCAAGCCATTACGAGCCCAGTGCGTGTATTCGAGTATATATTCGACGCTGGGCAATTGGATGTCAACGTTGAATACAGCTGGGAGCATGAGAACGGCAGCATTCATTATTCTACACTCCTTCGACGAGCCGCAAGAGAAAATATGCCTGGGATCGTGAAAGCTCTGCTTTCCAGAGGAGCCGACGTCAACTTAAGATCGGGAAGGAAGGGCGAGACACCCCTTATCACTGGCGTCAAGTGCTGTCACTGGAGTGCCGTGGACGCCTTGCTCTTTGCGGGAGGGATAGACCTCAGCTTGAGATGTAAAAAGGGGTTGACACCGCGTCTCATAGCCAAGAAACGCTTCACTCGACACCAAAAATCTCCGAGCAGGGGGCAAGAATTTGGGTTCATCATAGATCGCCTAAATAGGCACATACTTTCAATGCCAGATCGTGGCCAGGCACTGGAAAATCTAGAGAGGATCATCTCGGAAGGTCAATAACGGAGGTAAGAGGTCGAGGCGTAGTAGAAAACCCTTATTCGGGGATGGCTACTTCGAAATCATACGGGCTGTCGTTTTGAAAGACACCGACCAAGTTCAATCATGCCGTAATTTGCTTTGTGTGTAGGTCGGAGTTGAGAAGACTCGGTGCCCCAAATACTGGCTAGTCCCAGCTAAAGTGTTTGACAAGAGACTTGAGAAACAAAGGTGTAACAAGTTGTTATACATCTATGATTTCTGCGTGTACAATAAAAATTCGACTGAGAATCTAACTCTCGCCTCCTCCTGCCCCGGCAACAGGCGGTGATCGTGAGCAAACGCCCAGAACCCGTGCTTCGAAAAGCGACCCACCTTGTCCGCGGCCTGAGGCCTGTCTGTTCCAAACAGCGTCCCGGAAGACTCGATTGATTCACAGTCATCTTCCGAAGCCAGCGGAGGGACTATCCTCCCTGTTGTGTACCATCACCACCTTGGCTTGATAGAGCTCTGAGGAGGCCAAGTTGTGATCTGCTTCTTTACCACTATCGATCGGCCACTCGTGTAGGCGATGGAGCCTTCAACTCTGACTGTTTGTGGCTCGCTAGCCGTTCTGCTGATTCTGCCAGCATATCTCGAGACACTGGTTCAGGCAGCTTATGCACTATATTCTGTTCCCATTCGACTCGGCAATGTTTCATTGTCAAACGGCTAGGTAGCAAGAGGCTTGAAACTAGCCGTTGGGGAACCCGAGCAGAAGTTCGCTTTCATCCCGCAGAGGTATTCAACCTAAGCATCGACTGTTTTCTTTACGGCCTCTATGGCACATTACTAACGAAGATCTGAACTCAGTGGCCAAAACGACACGTTGTTGTACGGCACCAACGGCGTTTGTATTCTTCGCAGCTCTGACAAGTGGTTCAAGGGCGGTCGCACTTCCTTTTGAGGAGGTTCTTATGATTCATTCGCATCCAAGACAAGCAAAACGACATCACACGATGCCACCTCTGAAGATGAAGGATGGCCAGATATCAATCCTGTCGTTGATACGATGAAACTCAACAGCAACCTTACGCTCGATAACCTGGCCATGGGTGTAGCGTTGAGCGATTGGGATACTCAAGGCTGTTACGCCATGATGGGACTCGGATCAGGATCAAACTCTACCATATTGAGGGTCCTGGAAGAGTTAGGCAAGATTATCTCGCGAACGTGGAGTCTCTTTTGGGGCCGCGGCTTTGGAATGTCCTCTCAGCTGGACGGTCATCTTATATACGGAGGTTAAGGCCGAGCAAAAGTGTCTGGGAAGCGATACAACCAGTTCCTGACGCCCAACATTGCTCAGTGCGAATCACAGCTCGTAGTGACAGTCACGGATCTGACTATGAACTTCGATAATGGTACAGACGTCTGCATTTTCTCGTCAAAGTCGAGCGCCATATCCTCCTGCATCAAACCAACGCTTCTGGTAATGATGAGGATGCCTCTGGATCCTCACTTCTATAACTTCCTCGACTACACGGGCATTCCATCGAGAATATGACTCGCTCCCTCGGGTATCACCACTGGAACATGCAATACCTTCCCAATCAAAAGCCGTATGTACTCCTTACCCCCAAGTTGTGTACAGACCTTCAGACCACTCAGGTCCATTATCCACTTCATGATGCTGACAGAACTTGTGATCATAGTTACGACGGTGCTCTGACAATTACACTCTCGTCCGGTTCAAAAATCCGTGTGGACCGCGATAACCTCGTTCTGCCACATGTATTACTCGATGAGCAAACAAGAGAGATGCACGTTAACGCAACAGAAAAGGACTTGCTCATCGACTCGATGCAGGACGTCAACAAGAATGACATGGCGCAGCTCGGCTGGCAGTTCCTCTCCGCCGCCTACCTTCAAGTCAACCACAACACTTCCGAGTTCTCGCTTTGGCAGGCAAACCCCACGTGGAGCCAAGACATCGTGGCTCTAGACTCCGGTGACAACGATGTCACCCACTTCTGTTCTTCCCAGTCCAGCGAAGGCAATAAGACCGTGAATGGCGGTGGGGACGTCGGCGGCAGTGGGGAGGGTAGCGGGAACGACTCGTCGGCAAGCACAAGCTCCCCAGGCCTCTCTCGCGGAGCTATCGCCGGGATTGCCGTTTGCGGAGCCGCAGTTGTGGCCCTCATCATTGGAACTGCAGTATGGTTTCTCAAGAGAAAGAAGTCGAAGGCCCCTTCAATACCCTCGCCGGGAATGGGACAGAACGCATCGTGGCTGCCACAGCCTCCAGGCCAAGACCTTCCACCCAAGACACCACCAACGTGCGAGTTGGAAAATGGAGATACCACAAACTTCCGGCGGTATGAGATGGCGGGATGAACAGTAATGAAGGGCCGACGCAGTCGTGCTAGAAATAATGTTACATATTGATGACGTTCGAAGGGGGGTGGCTTTTCTTCTTTAGATCTAGAACCTATTTTGTATTATACCTCACGAACACTTCGTCCTCGTCTTACCCTCTAGCTAGCCTCTTTGGCAGAAACAAGTCAGTATTCTATCCTCGGCGGCACCCAGTGGCTTGTACTGTACGGGGTATCTCTATTTTTTTGGTGTTTCGGTCTTGAAGACATCAATGGTCTTCGAGATTAGTTGAGTAGGAGGCGCACGGGCCTTGTAAGCGGTGTACTGACCCCGCGGTCATAACTGAATGATTGTGAAGTCTGGCATTTGTCATCCCACTGAAAAGTGGACGGAATGAAAACAAGTCAGTTCGCACTTGGAAGACTGAGGATTGGATTGATGTCTAAACAAAATTGGTGTTTTCTTATCTTACAAGGCGGCCTAGGACTCTTGCAGTACGGAGATCGTGATCCAAGGCGAACTTGCGATTTGTCATAGATCTTCAAAACCCACTCTCAAATACTTGGTAAGCAAAAATGCCATTCAGCTTACCAAACACAGCTGAAAGATGTCAGTCCTTCCTCGGAGCCAATTTGTCCGTCCGTGTCTTAAGTTTCAGTGTATGCGGGATCCGCGGTAGGCAGATCGTAGCACCGGAAACAGTTTCCAAGTTAGGTGCAAGCTGAGCGCAACTATTAGGGTTTCCTACTCATAAAAGAGCTTGCCAGAGTCCCCCTCGCCACCGATTTAAAGATAGCTAATCAGATTAACCGGACATAACGACTGAGACTTGAAGTTTCAGTAAACATCAAGTATTGTTCAGTTGACTCTATCCATTTACGTTGAATCCAATCCACTTAGCAACAATTCCAACAAATCCCCACAAAAAAGCCGCACCAACAAGACCAAAATGGCATCTGAGAAGCTTAAACCGATCAGGGTCTGGACCTCCAAGAACGGCCCGAACCCATGGAAAGTCCATTTTGTCCTCGAGGAGCTCGGGATCCCCTACGAAGAAAAGTACATCGACTTCCCCGACATGAAGAAGCCGCCCTTTGAAGCGATCAACATCAACGGACGCGTACCCGCCATCGAGGACGGCAACACGGGCATCACGCTGTGGGAGTCCGGCGCCATCCTCGAGTATCTCGTCGAGACGTACGACAAGGAGAAGAGGTCAATCAGCTTCGAGCCGGGCACGGCCGACTACTTCCACGCCAAGCAGTGGCTGCACTTTCAAATGTCCGGTCAGGGCCCGTACTTTGGCCAGGCCATCTGGTTCCACCGGTACCACTCCGAAGACGTGCAGAGTGCCAAGGACCGGTATGTCAAGGAAATTCGGAGGGTTTCCTGGGTCCTGGACCGGGCACTCGAGGGACGCGAGTTCCTGGTGAGCGACAAGTGCTCCTATGCGGATATTGCTTTTATCCCCTGGTTCAATGTCGCGTTCTACCCGTGGTATAACATGAAGGTTCCTGGCGCATTTGCGGATCAGATCGATTTTGCAAAGGAGTTCCCGAACACGGCCGCGTGGATGGACAGGCTCAGAGCTAGGCCTGTCATTGCGGAGACCTTGAAGAAGAGAGCTGCAACTCTGTAGAAGAAGAAAAAGCGTAGATAGTAGTCCGTTGATGGAGTCAGATAAAAATACATGTCAGTATTCAAGCAAGCGCGTATATGAGAAAATGCGTTGTGACGTGCTGCACATTACGACATAGAGACATCTCGGCCCGAAGCCCCCACTATTTGCGGAAGAGCCATCCGGGCCCGCCTCCGGGCCGCTTTTTGTCAGCCCAAACGAGGCCGAGATCGACCCGGACGAGCGAATCTCGTTCAGGTCTCTCAGCGGCTCGCCCAGGAAGCCGGATAGAAACCCGCTTTCATCGCTCTCGCTTCCTCATACGCTGCGATATCTGTATCCGCTACAGTGGGGAAGTGAGTGTATAACAGCCCAGAAGAATGAGGTTGGCAGGTGCCATTGTATCCGAATCAGTGAACGCAATTGGAGAACACGGAAGCGGGCGGGGGGCAAACACCGCTCGGAGCCGATTGCAACCTTGAGATCATTAATGTGTGTCTTTGCTTCGGACTGGTATACTTGCCTTATCCGGACGAGTGGGAACAGAACAGTACACTTGCGTTTTGGCACATGGCAAATCAGCGTCGATGCAAAGTCGATTATTCGCGGCTCGCGTCCTCGCGTTGAAAAAAAAAAGTGGGATTTCCGGAGCGACCTGGGACCTGCAGCTTATGAACCATGAAGTTTGAACGCCCTACCACGCGCAGACAGGCACGTATTGGACCCAATCTCTGCGTAAAACCGAGATCTCCGAGTAATGGAATTTTCTCTTAGCTCGGCACCAAGGAGCCCAGCGTTATCGCTGGCAAAGGTTGCCTCGCCGTCATTGATGGAGCTTTCTATCGTTAGCCTTGTGGGAATAAACCGGGATCTAGTAGAATGCAAAGTGGGAGAAAGAGAGAGAGGCAACTTCCCTGTCGCGCCCGGTATGAAGTCACGTATCAGTCTTGCTAATCCTCAATGACTCAATGTTGCAACTTACTCGGTGTTCCTTCCGCTGCCGTCTGTAACAGTTCCAACTCTAAAGAGACATCACACCCATATCAGCTGAATCTGAGATCCAGGAAGTATGTTCCCCTAGCGCTCTACTAGGTATACCTGAGGAGAAACCTATTGGGGAATAGGATGCAATCTTTTCTACAACGCCGGCGTGCGGGCGTTGAAGCCCAGGCGCAAATCGACAGAGACATTGGAAAAGCACAGTCCTCAACAGCGCAAGAAAGGCCGCACGACGGTATAGGCAGGGACCTTGAGAACCAATCTTCTTCATCACAGGAGGAGGAGAAGCGAGCAAGTCCACTCTTGGAATCACTAGGCGGTACTACCACCACCAAGCCCGAAAGCAACGACCACCAGAATCATGAAGGGGAGTACGATGCCTTCGGCACAAACGTCGAACGAAGTCAGACGGCACGGACAGGACACTCCGAAGGCACAGCCCTCGGCCGCGTCCTAACCGGCATCCACGTCCGGGACCGGACCGGCGAAGAGGGCCACGGCGGCCGCGTCTTCGTCGTCGGCTGGGCGGGGCCGGACGACCCCTTAGACCCGCACAACTGGCCCACGGCGAAGCGCATCGGCGTGACGCTCCAAATCTCCCTCATCGCCCTCTTCGTCGGCTCCGCGTCCGGCATCGACGCCACGGTCCTCCCGCAGGCCGCGCAGGATCTCGGCGTCAGCCAGGTCGCCGAATCGCTCGCCACGGGCCTCTACCTCGTCGGCATGGGCCTGGGCTCCCTCATCGCGGGGCCCTTTTCCGAAACGTTTGGTCGTAACGCCGTGTACGCGGCTTCCATGGCGATCTTCATGATCTGGATCATGGCGTCCGGCCTGGCGCCTAACTTTGGCGCGCAAATCGTCTTCCGCTTCCTGGCGGGATGCTCCGCCTCGACGCCCCTCGTCTGCTCCGGCGGCTCCATCGCAGACATGTACAACCGGCTCGAAAAGACGTGGAGTTTTCCCTTGTACGCGATAACCTGCTTCGGCGGCCCCATGATCGGCGCCGTTATGGGCGCCTACATTGGACCTTCCAACGCCGTGAGCTGGCGCTGGGTAGAGTGGACGACGCTCATCTCCTCCGGGCTCGTGCTGGTGCTTGTCCTGCTCTTCATGCCCGAGACGTACGGCCCGCTGCTCCTGCAGTGGAAGGCCGCACACTACCGCCGCATCACGGGCGATGACCGCTTCCGCTCCGAGCACGAGATCGTCGACGCCACGCTCTTCAGCCGCCTCAAGACGAGCATGACAAGGCCGTTCCTCATGCTGACGGAGCCCATCATCATCGCCATGACGCTGTACATCACCGTCGTCTACATCGTCCTCTTCACTTTTCTCGTCGGGTGGCCCTACATCTTTGAGTATACCTACGGTCTCGACCAAGGGCTCGCCAACATCATCTTCATCTCCATGTTCGTCGGCACGCAGGTCAATTTCCTCTTTGTGCCCTTCATCTACGCCAAGACAGCGAAACGGGTCAAAAGCGATAGTGGAAAAGCGGGCTTCAAACCAGAGATCCGTCTGTGGTACGCCACCTCCGGCGCCGCCGTCTCCGTCCCCATATCGCTTTTCTGGCTCGGCTGGACAAACTTCTCCAACATCAGCGTCTGGTCTGCCATCTTCGCGGTCGCCGTGTTCGGGTACGGCGTCACCGGCATCTTCATGTGCGTGTACATGTACATAATCGACTCGTACGAGATATACTCGGCCTCTGCGCTCACGTTCGTCGCGCTCATCAGGTATATGGTTGCGGGCGGCATGACCGTGGTAGGAATCCCCTTTTTCGAGAAGATGGGAACGCACTACACTCTGACCATCCTCGCTTGTATATCGGCTGTGCTTGCGCCGATTCCTTATGTTTTGTATTACTATGGCCACTGGCTCCGAGCCAAGAGCCGATTTGCGGTGTCAATGTAAAGTAGCATCATTCATCTAGACAGCGTCACTTTTCTACTAGATGGCACATTACGGTGCACATATCGAGTATGCCTGATCATTGATTGCATAATAATCTCGAACACCCTACCTAGATCGGGAGATAGACTGAGTTGATGGTGTGCTGGCATAGTGTGATCATGTAGGTTGCTAAATAGACAATATGGTAGTTGTACTCACACAACGTCGATAAAGAGCGAACAACTCTAGCCTTCGAGTTCTAGGATCATTGAGGATCCAGAAAAGCGCCTTCTAACAATAATCCTCCAGTTCACTTTCTCTCAAAGACGGCGAGACTGATCAGAAAGATCTCACCATCGCTTCTAGCCTCCATCCACCTCCGGCACTTTCCACCACCCAGTGTCCTTGGAAGTGTTCGAGACTTTCAGACAAAGGGCTCGGAAGGAAATCATGGAGTCTTCTGAGTATTGCAGAATTGACCGAGGAAATTGGCTGGGGTTCTTTGCTC